GAAGCATTAGATTATGGATTCCGAGACAGTGGAATTTCGTTAGGAAAAGCTGATTGTGTTGTGTAAACCTAACATGCAATTTTTTTTCCTGGGAAATATACTTTTCCTGAAATTCTTTTTAATTAGTTCTTTTTTTTTCCCCTTTGTTTTATTCTAGGACTTTAAACCAAAAGCCATGTGGATACTGCTACCATTAACCCTGGGGAGAAGGGGCAAAGAGGGTCAGTCAGTGGTCTGTGTTGTGTCATGACAGCACAAATGCTCGTAAATAGTGTGTCCTTCAAGGTGACTGGTCTTTTAGCTAAAGTACAAAGTTATCATTCATAGGATTAATTCCCAAATAACTGCCTCAACAATTTTAAAGTAGGATCATGACTTGTTAGTTTCAGGGAGGGCCTTCCAATAGGACAAAAATGCATCTGCTTAGGTCCTCCATCTGAAAACTTGGTGTTTCAATGCATTTCAGTGAATTCAAATACATAATCTTGATGTGAAACTTTCTTTTCCTACTTTGGAGAGGGTTAAAATCATCTTCATTTTGAGTTTTCTCTTGCTTTGTCTACACATAACAACTTTCCCAGAGGACTTTCCTATTCTTTCTAGTTTTATCTAAGTCTGTAATACTAATTGCCAATTGTATCCCATTTATCTTAAGCATTCCATTCTCATGCTTTGTGTTCTATTATGCAATTTAGAGATGTCTACACTACCCAACATCCCTACAGTATGCAAATATGCAAGTTGACATCTTTTGAAGATCTTATACACTGGGTATCATTGTGACTTTCTGTATTAACTCCCCAATCTCTACAACACCCCTGTGATTTATATATTCCTATTTTACAGAAAAGGAAATTGAAGCTCAGATCCACTAAGCGACAGTCACAACTATAAAATGAAGACATTAAGGTACAAATTAAGACTCATCTAGTTCTAAAACCATAAGGACATACTATTTACGTATGTATTTCCAAAAAGTTCTGTTCAGGTTAGAAATTTAAAATTCTTTTTTAAGTAGAAGATTATCAGCTTTATTTTTGAAAAGCCAAATTTAACTTGCTACTTGGCATATTATCAGAGTCAAACTGACCAATGATTCAGAAATAGATTCATGGTGCTTCAAAGGTTTAGACTGGACAGGCCTCTCCTTTAAAATGGAAATTTTGTTAACCTTTTTCTTGAATGTAGTAATCTTGAAATGGGCTTCATCTCCTATGACACACATTTGGATTTTTCTCCAAAGCAGAAAATTGGAATTCTATATGGTAGATTTGAAGGATAAGCCTCTTCCACAGTTTATGTGATGATTAAAGTTTATGTAAGATTAACAATTACTTAATAAAATTGGATTCATAGTAAAATATTGATCAGTGATGACACATTATTCACCCAAATATATTTTTACTATCAGTCTACATTTTAACAAAACAATGGGGTTTTAAAAGGTGCTTTCAAAAAAATTTTTATTTATTTTTAATGTGCATGAGTGTTGTTGCTTACACATAAGTGCGCCTGTGTCATGCAATGCCCATGGAGGCCAGAAGAGGGACCCTGGTACTGGAGTTACAGACAGTTGTTAGCTGCCAGTATGTACTGAGAACTGAACCCAAGTCCTCTACAAGACAGCCACTGTGTTATTTTATTATTGATTTTTATTTTATGTATATGAGTATATAGTCTACATGTATGTAAGTGCATCTGTGTCATGCAATGTCCATACAGGTCAGAAGAGGGTGTTGGATCCCCTAGAACTGGAGTAATGGACAATTATTAGCTGCCATGTGGGTGCTGGGACTCGAACCTGGGTTCTTTGGAGGAGCAGCCGGTGCTCCTAACTGGTGAGCCATCTCTCCAGGGTTTTTTTTAATTGGTTAAATTACAATGTAAATCTTGTTTGTGATAGGAGAAATGAACCAAAAATATTTAGAAAATCAGTTAGCAAGTAGAATCTTGGAAAAATAAATGTTCTAATTGGATTGCTAGTTAAGTATATGATAAGTCTATTCAACATTGTTCCTAGACTAGCAACTTTGAGGCAAACACTATATTAATTATTTAATTTGTTAATTTATGTTTGAATTGTATGAAAACCCTAGTTTTTATACTTCACATTGCTGAAGAACTTACCAATTAGTTTTCTTACCTGAACAATAAAACTATATTCCAACAGCCCCTTTGCTTAACTAGTCTAGCTTTTATAGTTTAGTTTTCTTTTAACTCCTTAAACATTTTTTATTGAATTTTCGTGATTCTCATACAATATAGCTTAATGGTTAGATTCTGTCCCCTATCCTCATCTCCTCTCACTGCCCCCACCTAATTTAATGTAATCTCATATATATTCATATTCATATATATATATATATATGCAAAATACAGCCTATAGAGTCTGACTTGTGTTCCCAAATGCCCTTCAGTGTGGGTTAATCCACTGGGCCCACCAAGAATCTGGTCCCTGAAAGAGAATGTCTTTCCCCACTCAGAAGCCATCAATTGCCAAAAAGTTTCTTAGGTTGGGTTGGGATTAGAAACTTAAAATTCTTCAGTTAAAGAATATATGTTCTGAAATATGATTTGGAGACCCAGACATTAAAGGGAAAATTTAAAGAAACACTTCTCATGCCTGATTCTCTAACTTGGGACTATTTGTTATTTTTTTTTCTTTATTATAAGAACTGCTATCTGTTTAAGTGCTCCAGGATTTGGAAATCATTCTCATGATTAAATATTTGTTTGCTAGTAAGAGCTCAGGGTAGGGCTATGCTGACAGTGGGTGCTTAATAGAGATTAATGGATGGCCAAGCATGGCTGTGTGAGAGTCTTGGGCTTAGGATCTGCTGAGCTTTTCGAAAGCAACACAAATGATATGGGGGGGGGGATGAAAATCATGGATCAGCACCCCACCATGATCATGGGTCTCTGGATTGGGCCATGTCAACTCAAACATCTCAAAGGTTTGGATTCGGAACTGAAAATGTCATACATGATATTTTTTTTCTCTAGAGGAATGGTTGAGAGATGTTTTAAAAATGAGATTCCATGGCTATTTCTCAGATTAATATCAAAGATGAGAGAAAACCTGTCTCTCTGAAGAGCACCAAAGAAAACCAAATATTCTTTAATTGACACATTTCCTATTATTATATACAGATAAAGAAGATGAGTAATAAAGTGCATCATATGGTTTATTCAAACTGTCAGAACAAGAGATGAAACATGAGTAACTCTCCAGAGAAACTTCTGTGAAATCGGAGCAGTAAAAAGAATGACAGTAAGCAGCCATACGTTCATTTACTACCAAGTCATCCCTGAAAATCTTGGGGAACCAAAAATCAGTTCCCCCAAAGTGCCTGGTGGGGTATTTCTAGAAAAGAGGCAGGAGACCAATAACTTCAACTCACTTCAATAAAAAGACAAGTACCCACATGCTCACGCAGGACTGTGCTTTTGATAGAGTGTCTGGAGCCAGTCCCGGCAGGGACCAGAAAAGGACGCCTTCATTAGGAATCAACACTATTAAGCACCTTTCTAAGTCTTGACGGAGTTCTAGGACATGAGGGCACTTGCTTACAATATCAAACTTTTCACTGGCAAAAGAAGTGGGAGGAAAGTACAAAGATTGTTATCTCCCTTTCTCAGGCTGTGGTGGGATGTAATTACTATTATATAGGGGAGACTATTCTAACATTTATGTAGAAGAGAGTTTCCAGCAAGCTTACCCAATAGACCTGATTCCACACACAGCTCCTGGAACCCCCATCTGCACAAGCAAGGTAAAGCCTCTCAGGGTCCATTGGAGCTTCAGTTTCATGCTCTTGTTGACGGATTCCCTCATAAAATATATCTTAAACAGGAAAGCTGTGTGTCCTGGACTTTTAATGAGAACTTATTTCTATCTTTTACAAACTCTCTTTTTATCCCCCACCAAACTCCTTTTAGCAATAAAAAGGACTTAAGGGGGCTGGAGAGATGGCTCAGTGGTTAAGAACACTGGTTGCTCTTGCAGAGGACCTGGGTTCTGTTCCTAGCACCCATGTGGTGGCTAAAAACCATCAGTAACTCCAGTTCCAGGGGATCAGACACCCTCTTCTGATCTCTGCGGGCATTGCATGACATGGATGCATTTACATACATGCAGACAATATGTGCATACACATAAAATAAAAATATTTAAAAATAAATAAAAGGGACAAATAAACTGGGATAATTTGGAATATCACATTATAGTCTGTTTTATTTCTCTCCATTGTTGGCCCAATACTTTATCATTTTCTCCCTCCAAAGAAAGGTGGCCATTGAGAAAGAACCCAGAAGGTATGCTAGGATGGTAGATATAGTCAGGAGAAATCTTTCTCTGTGTTTTCTGCTTTAAAAAATAAGGTAACTTGTGTGAACAAAAAATTACAGGATATATATATATATATATATATATATATATATATATGCCTAAGGTATAGATGCACATTTATAAAATCACCATCCTAAAATGAGATTTAAGGATTTAAGAGTGGGAAGGGCTGCTTCGCATCCAGTAGCTACAGCTTTATCAGCACCGGGTTGATAGGCAGCTGTGCCATTGCAAGTCCCATTCCATAGTGTTGACTCTCCCAGAAAGACCTCAAGGAGCCACTGACATTCCTCTTAAAGAATCAATGAATCTCTGTTTCCTTCTGTCTGCTCACTTGACCTTATTTTGTTTTGGATCAAAGAAGAAAGGACTTAACTGTTGGGATGAGGTGGGGTGGGGGAGAGTGCGGCGGTTGCAGAATCTTGAAGGACATGTCCGTGCTGTGGAGCCCACAGACAAGATCATGGCTGCAGATGGTCACCCGGGATATATTATATGTTTGTTGTTGTCTTATTTGTTTCTGCTTCTCATTTCAGATTCTCAGCCTGATATAATAAGTAACTGTCTTCCCAGCCATCATCTCCTATTGACAAGCAAATGTCACCCATGTTTGATTGACATCTGTTGCTCCTGAATGCAGAAGTATGATTTAGGAATCAATTCTACTTATTTATTTAAAGCCATTCTTGTGTGCCATGTATTTGGTGCTTGGATAACTTTCCTAATGTCTGCTTCAAGGACTACTATTACTATACTATTCTAAATCTAAGTGGTTTCTTTTCCTGCTTTTCCACTGCTAAGGGGGGGTGTGGTCTTCTTTGCCATATTTTTTCCTATTTCCCCGCCCCAACCCCCATCTGGGAAATGTGCTATGGAGCTTACAGGCCTCTTTCTGTATCTTATGAAAAGTCTTTGCCTGGCACTTGTGCAAACGCTGCATGCTTTATTGTAAGACCTTTGACGGCATTCTGACAAGTGATTATTTCTCTGGCTTGTAGCTCCTTTAAGCAAATACAACTTCAAGTCCAATGACAGTATCTGCTGAAGGCCTGCTGGAGCTGCAAGTCAAGGGCTTATGTATGCTCCCGCCATGTGCAGCACTTGTAAGAAGTACCAGCCCTCTCCCTTTTGGGCGGTGGGCAAGTTCATTTAAAAAATCAAGAAATGTCCTTTGGTTTTAAACACACCTTACTGTTCTCAGGGTAACAGCTTACTTCATTTAGAAGGCCGTGGAAGCAAATCTTAAGGTTAGAAAACAAAACAAAACAAAAACAAACAAACACATCTACTATCTGGAAAATTCAAAAGGGCCCTCCTTGTGGTAAAAGTGGCATTTTGAAAAACACCTGAAAAGCACTGATGGTGGGTGAGCCAGCAGAGAAATATTGTCACCAAACCTCCCTCCTTTCAACCTTCACCCCTACCTTCCAGCAAGACCTGCTGGTACTGGGGAAACAGATTTGGCTGTGACCCTTGAGTCCCCGAGGGCTGTCACACAGCTGTCTCCCTCGCCCAAGCACGTCCGGCTAGGGAGCTGCCATCGCCTGGGTTAGGCAAGGGAGTATTCAGGATTTCACTGTTCATCTCAGTGCAGAGAGGGAAAAAAAGAAAGGCCGAAAAAAAAAAAAAATCCCACATTGTCAGAGTAATGCCAAGCTCTCTGTGAGTGGGATGAGCTGAGCAGATGCTGCGAGGAGATGCCAAAGCGGCTCCCCTTCCTCTGTGCCTTGGGTTCCTATAAATTGCTCCGGCGCGCGTTTGTCAGCCTCCTCTTCTCCTGGCAGGTGGTACCCAGGCAGAATTCTGTGCTCAGTCTCTCTCGCTGGGCTCTGGGCTAGGCGCTTGCCCTCTCTCTAGCTGGCTCCCAGGCTCCAGCCCGAGGCTCTCCCAGCCACCGACTGCGCACCCGGGGGGCGCCCGGCCAGAGCTCGCGCAGCCGACGCGGGGCTTTCGGGGTGCACCTTTGTCAGAGTTGTGGCTGCAAAGCAGGAAGGAAAAGAAAGAAAGAAAAAAAGAAAAAGGCAGGGGACGGACGGACCCGGAGAGTGAGAAGACCAGAGGCAGAAAAAAAGGCAACTTCAGACGCAAAGTTGGTGCGAACTGGCGCAGTCTGCAAAAACCGGAAAGTCGATCTCGGGCAGCGGCTACATAAAAGTGTGAGCTGCGGGCGAGCGCAGGAGGCGGCGGGCTCTGCCTCGGCGGCAGCCACAGGTGCGCAGGGGCTCCAGCGGGCGCCCTGGGCTCCCCTCCCCCGGCCCCCGCCCCCCGCGAGGGACTCCAGATCCAGGCACTCGGCGCCCCAGCTCCCTCCCCAGCTGCAGCCTCAGCGGGGGCAGCCGGAGCCGGCGAGGAGCCGGCGCCCGCCCGCCCCAGGGACTTGGGGTTCCGAGGGGGATCGTTTTCGGCTCTGAGGAGGTCCCCGCCCAACCTTCAAAATTTTGTCCAAAAGCAGACAAGAGGATCGGCCCGCGCTGAGCCGGCTCGTGGGCAGCAGGAGGCGCCTGATCGCCGCCGGGGCGCTGGGGGTGGTGATGGTGCTCCTGCTGGTCATCCTCATCCCGGTGCTGGTGAGCTCGGCCGGCACGTCGGCGCACTACGAGATGCTCGGCACCTGCCGCATGGTCTGCGACCCCTACGGGGGTACCAAGGCTCCCAGCACCGCCGCCACGCCAGACCGCGGCCTCATGCAGTCACTGCCCACCTTCATCCAGGGCCCCAAAGGCGAGGCCGGCCGGCCGGGGAAGGCAGGCCCGCGTGGGCCCCCCGGAGAGCCGGGACCTCCGGGCCCTGTGGGGCCCCCGGGCGAGAAGGGAGAGCCCGGCCGCCAGGGCCTGCCGGGTCCACCCGGGGCTCCCGGGCTGAACGCGGCCGGGGCCATCAGCGCGGCGACCTACAGCACCGTGCCCAAGATCGCCTTCTACGCGGGCCTCAAGCGGCAGCACGAAGGCTACGAGGTGCTCAAGTTCGACGACGTGGTCACCAACCTGGGAAACCACTACGACCCCACCACCGGCAAGTTCACCTGCTCCATCCCGGGCATCTACTTCTTCACCTACCACGTCCTGATGCGAGGAGGGGACGGCACCAGCATGTGGGCTGATCTCTGCAAAAACAACCAGGTGAGCGCGTGCAGCAGTGGGGAGGGCGGGGAGGGAGCGGGAAGGTGCGGGCTGGAGGGAGGAGACCCCGGAAATGGGGGTGGGAGCCCGCGGAGGAAGGGAGCGGCATCCCGGTTCCAGGCTCGCGAGCGGGGCGAGGGGGATGCTGTGACTCGCTGGAGAGGCGGGGGTCGCACGCGGAAGAGGCCTGGACAGGGTGGTTCTGGGGAGTCAGGCTAGTGCTCCGAGAGCACGACCCTCGAGGGGCAGAAATGGAGATCTTGGTCCTGGGGACAGGACTGGCCTCGGGGAGATCCCAGGCTGGTGCGATACTCAGCAGGACAGGGTCCGTAATAGCCCTTTTGGAGAATGCACCGGGCTCCTGGAACCCGAAATGGGCGTGTCAGGGCGACCAACTCCCAGAAGATAGACCCGGCTCCAGGGATAAAAGAAGGACCCCCGAGAGTGAGTCCCAGCTGTGGGTATCCGGGTCAGAAGCAGGACCCTGCTGCGCGCGGTTGAGCGGCCCTTGCGGTGTCCCACATGGTGAAACAGTCACTTTCAACGCGGCTTAGTTTTCAGCCTGACAACAGGGGATGGAAGAGATGCTAGGAAAAGAAAAGTTGGGACTGAGGTTAAACTGCAAAGTAAGGCAACTTGCACTCAAACACAGAGCCCACATTCTTCAGTTGGAGTAGGAAGAGGCACAAAGGGGTCAGGAAGGTGGTGGAGCAGAGCTCAACCCTGTGGCGGTAGATTTGCGCCAGCGAGCTCCAGGGCACCCTGTAAGAGTCTTTGCAACCCCAGCAAGAAGGCTGGGGCTTTCGCGTTGGCTATAAAATGGCCTCAGCCAGGACCTGCACTGCTGATCCAGTAGATGCTTGACAATGTCTGCCAGGGCTACTTTGCCTTTGCTAGAGAATTCCACGTCAGTGCAAAAAAACAAAAACAAAAACAAAAAACAGAATAAAGCATCTTTGATCTTTTAGTCACTGGAAGAAAATAATATTTCTAAGTACCTAAAAGTGTAATCGGACCTTCTGCACAAGCTGAGTCAGCAGGCACGAGGGCGATTCCTTTCTCTTTGTAGCTGTCTGAGCTGAGTTCCTGAGCCCTCCACTTTGCTTATTGAGTGGCACAGGGAGACCCCATGTTCCCGCCATCGCTCTCAAGAGGCCTCATTTCATAACAGCAACTTTGACTTAACAAGGGCCGGTGGGCTTTAGGTCACTGGTCCCCTGGAAATTCAGACCTTCTTAGCTAAGACTCAATTTTCTGCTAAGCACCATTACAGTCCAGTTTCTTCTCAAGGCTTAACTTAGTGTCAGAATTCTTTCAAAAGTGAAAGATGAATGTTCTAAATGTATGATTTTTTTAAAAAGTCCCTTTCCTGAAAATAAAAGAACCCTCAAGACACACTGAACAAAAAGAAAAAAAATGGCCACCAGGAGGCACTGACAAGGTTGTTAATTATAGTTATTATGCATGAAAATAGTATTAAGAAAAATAAAAATTATCCCTAGAGCAGGTAGTTATAGGTAAGTGCCTTCAAGGTCATGACTCACTACATCAAAACAGAGGCACCCAGACTGGCTTACAAAATGGCTATGAGCAGCCCCCAGGCAGTCATGAAGCACCCCTTTATTTACAAATTGGCTCTCTTCTGACTCAAACTTTGGGTCTGAAAATGCTATTATGACAAAGAGATTTTTTTAAAAAATGATATCATTAAGAGGCTAGGATTCCTGCTTTCCCAACAAATAGAAAAATGGTCATATTCTTTAATATCTGGAGATTGTACATGCTCAAAACCCCAGAAGTAACACAATTTCGTTAGTTTAGATGCTGATATAGTGTCTGTGCATAGTCCAATGATTCTAAGAAATTCATTCAGTATGAGTTCTACATGCATTTTGTTTTTTAAATGAGTTCATTTCTTGGAGGGTATAAGCAGCTCTTTGTATCATTTGCTCATACACATTTGGGGGGGGGGTTGCCAGGAAAACAAACAGGTAAATCAAACATGCCCTTAATGCTTTCCACTGTCAGTGTAAAGTTACTGCTCCCCCCACAAATACGCAACAGGTAATTCAGAAAAATGTCTACTAATAAACAGCATACTTTTTAGTTCAGTATGGATTTATTAGAAGATGGTTATTGCAATATTACAGCTGAGGAATTTTATCTCTAGAATAGAACTATTTTGTAGAGTCTGGTCTGCAGACAATTACAGTCTTGTCTGATTGTTTCTTAGAATGGCAGTTTTCCCCTCTGAGTTGACCTGATTTGTTTTTATAAAACAGAAACTCAGAAATCCATGTCAGTGTAATGTTCTATGGATTAAGTGGATTTTGAGAAGCACAAAAATTAAACAAGGCAAAAAAATGCAGTTTTCAGTGTAAGAGGGAGTAATGTCTCTGAATCATAACTATAGGAGAGCCATCTTATCCATGCTTTGTGTTGAATGTAGGGTTACAGATGGCAACATCAAAGGCCAGTAAATTAGCCTGATGTGCCACTTAACCTTTTGTTTATGGTTCCACAGGAGTACAATGAAAATGAAATCATGAGACCATCAGCAGCAATTAATTAAATGAGCAAATGTTACTGTAAATATTTTGTGTAAAGATAGTCCCTCAGTAATAAGACAATACTAAAACTATACATCCTATTACATCTCACAAACACACCCCTGCAAAGGACTGTGGTTCTCATGTTCCCCACGAAACCATTAACCTACATTCAATCTTATCATTTGTTGAGAGCCCATTATAGTGCATATTAAAAATTGGGCTCAAATAACTTTATATAGATACAGAAAAAATTAGAATTTTATACTTATAGTTGAAAACCTGAAAAAAATGTTTTTTAAACACAATTACTGCAAAGCTATTATAAAAAGCCACAATAATAAAAACTAAATTGGCTGAAGATTACAAGTATAAAATAATTAAAGACAAGCCTCTCTCTTGTAGGAATTTATTAGCTTTTGTACCAACAGCATGAACTACATCGGGAAGAATAAAATTCCGTTGTTTTATATTCATTTGTCAGAGAGTAATGACATGCCAAATTAGTTATCTTTTAAGAGGCGGTGGAACACATACCAAAGGTAAAGCAGAAACTACATAGTTAACATAATAAGAAAAGATAATACAGTGAATTTAGGTAGAAATAGGTATATTGGACTGAGAAAAGGATGCACTACATTCCCTGACAAAATGCTGAAATCAATGTACATTTAGAAATCTGAAAATAGCCTTCAGGGTGAACATTACCTTCCTCAATAGTTTGATGGCTTAAAGAAGGAACGGCTGAAGGCAGTGAGATAGATGGCAGACTGAAATTTCAAGTCCCATTGTACCCTTGGAGTATGGTGTGTGAGCAGACATACTCAACTCATGTACACTGGTGGACTGTGATTATTCACTTGAGATAGCCTGATGGTGCAGTATAGGTTAAGATCTTAGAGGATCGCTTTTTATTATAGTGCCATCATACTGGCTTTATCCAACAAAGGAAGTGAAAAGTGTTGAGGCTAACCTTCCAGTGTGTGGAATCACACTAATGTGTTTGCAGGCATTGTGGTTTTATCTGCTGAATTAAAAATGGTAACGGTGACTTTGTTTTGTGGTTTACCCTATAGAATGAAAATTGCATTGTATATTTTTAAAAGATTAAAGTCTCTAAATCAAGGATTTAATGAGTCCTGATTCCTAAATGCTTTCATGTTGAAAACAACTATAAAAAAGTCTCCATAGGACATATATTAAATATCTAAAATGCTGAATAAAATGTGTC